TGGTGGCCATGCAGTCCATCCCAGGCACTGTCCCATGCTGGACCTGTGGCTATCCATCCTCTGCTTGGAGGGGAGCCCACCACTTCTTTGGGGCTGAGTGAGGACAGCCCTCATGAGTAGGAAGGCCTTGCTGACAACTCATACACTGGCCTGTTAGCAACTTTGCCCCATTCGCCGCTCCCGGCTCTGGGAGCCCAACAGAACCAGTCTAGGCACTCCCCCGGCAGCCTTTAGGATGCGTCAGGCTAACGGCTCACAGTCCCTTCAGACTTTTCTCTCGGCTTGGTGAGCCGTTCCTTCAGACACTCCTCCAGGGGCATCCATAAGGTTCCCCATCCTGGTTGCTCTCCTCTGGACACTGTCCAGCTTTTTTTCCCCTTTGTTTCCCCTTTGGAGCATTTTTATTTGTATGTGTGCCCTTAGAAGAAGAATCCCAGGACTTTTCCTCCTTTGTGTCTGTGAGGTTCACAACAGTTTTTCCTGCTCTGTGATCACCGGTGATCTCAAATTCGCCGATGGAACTGTGCTTCATCATCACCGGACAATTACTTTAGAGCACGGTCTAATGAGAACCTGGTGTCTTCCTCGCTTTTCTGCGTTGTTGATGCTTTTGAGAGCATCTGCCAGGATGTTCATGCGCACCATGGTGGCAGCGCTGCAACATGGCGGAAAGAGCCACTGTCTGGCTTCTTAAACCATGGTGCCCATAACTGAACCCAATGTTCAATTCTGGTGAGGCATGACCAGGGCAGAGGCCAGAAGGACTGCCATCTCCTTGTTCCTGGCAGCTGTCTGCCCTTCCTAATGCAGCCCAAGATCCCATGACATCTTTTTGGACACCACATTGCCATTTCATTGATTCAACCCTGATGCTTTATATTGGACTTGTAGCCTATCCCCAAATCCTTTTCAGAGTAACTGATGTCTGTCCTTGACCTTCCATTTGTAAAGGTGATTGTTAGGACCCAGGTGCAAGAATTACCACTTATCCCTACTGAATTTCACCTTATATTCAGCCCAGTGTTCCAGCCTGCCAAAATTCTTGAGGACACTGGGATCCAGGGTGTCCACTGCCCCTCCCAGCTTGGCATTATCTGCATACTTGATTGGCATATCACCTATGCCCATCTTCTTTCCAGACTTGGAATCAGTACCGAGCCAAATATTCCTCAGGCTAGAAACCCAAGCATCTGATTATTCAAACATTCACGTGTCCACACAGGGTTCAGACAAAAGATAAGGAGCAGGGGTTGAAATATCTTATAAAATTGAGACCACAAAGGCAATCTGATGGGGGGAGGGTAAGAGAGCAGCCTTCTGCACATCTCTACTGGAATTTGACCCTTTCTCAGTTTCCCATAAAATTTGCTTCTGTAAGATCCTACTTTGTTCCTGCTGCAAGGTCAGGGAAGTTATCACAGAGCCCAAGCAAAACCAGGGAAGGTGAGGGAACTACAGAGCAGGGAAGGCAGGTGGAGGGTCAGCCCCACCCAGGGCCCCACCCACTTCTGTCAGGCCGTTTGTAGGAGCATGGCATTTAGATGTGCACAGGACTGAGGAGGTCATATTGTCCAACCCTCCTTTCATTTTATATCTGAGGAAACTGAGGCCCAGGTCCCACAAGTTGGAAGGACTCAGGGCTTCTACCTCACTGAGTGGCAGAACCAAGATTACCAGACCGGAACACTGGGCCGAGTCTAATAAGATGCAGATAATAAGGCTTAATGGGAAGACCTCCCTCGGGGTGGTCCAAAAATGTCAGCTCTAGATGCAAGACTGAAAATGCCCAAGTGTGGGTCTCCTAGGCTGGGCGTGGGACAGCTGGTCCTTGAGCAAGGCCCCCAGTGAGGGAAGGGAGTTTGTCAAACCTCACACAGTGAGCCCGTAGCAGAGACAAGATCTGAACACAGATCCCACAGCTTTAAATGCAGTGTCCTTGTGTCACGACAACACCCACACGTGGGTCATTCGAGAAACACCTACTGTGTGCAGGACACCGTCAGGCGGAGGGAAGGGAAGGGGATGCAAAGTTCAGAAGCAGCCAGCACTGTTTGTTGAAAATGCATTTATTTTTCTTTGAATGGTCTTCTTCAAGCAATAAATAAAAACCACTGAGACAGAAACAACAAGCGGAGAGAACAAAGCAAAACCCAAACGACACACACCTCCTGGGCACAGCAGACACCAGACACACGGACAAGTGGGAGGCTATTTACAAGCGTGAGGAGGGAAATGTTGCCCTTCACTTTCCAGAAAGGCATCTTCCTTCTCAGCCTCCAGGAGGAAGACAGGCAGGGGCAGGGGGTCCCTGGGATATAGCCCCATCCGGCCCTAGCTCCACGATCTTCAAGGCTTTGAGCAACACGGGCTCACCGGTGTCCAACCAGGGATTGGCAGGGCTGGATTCTATCCCAGCAAAGAAAGACTTCCTTTGCTTAGCTCTCGATCTCTAGCCCCTCTCCCCAGAAATGACCTGAGCCTTCCAGCTGCACCCCCAAACCGTCCTTCCAAATAGGACAAAGGACACACCCTGCCTGACAGTTACCCTGCCTGTGTCACCACTCACCTCAAACCTGGTACCTCCCATTGGAGCATCCACTAACACAGGTCTGCCGGGCCTCAGAAGGGAAGGGTTCATGGCATTCATGATCTCTCCAGGAGAGATTCCATATTCAAAGGCTGTCTGCCCACCACCAAGCCCAGGGGAAATGCAGCTAGCAGGATTTCTCCCTAGGACAGAACTGCCCCTGCCTCAGTGCCCAGAAGCCAGGGGGAAACCAATCATAGGAGGTGCCCCTTCATGCCCCGGTTCTGCCGTCCAGGTCACGGGATGAGAGCAGGAGCTGGGTGTCCAAGTGACCCAGAGGATGGTGGTTTGCTAGAGGGCATCCTGGCCAGAAAACTTTGAAATGTTCCAAAGGAATAGAACAATGTGGGAGACTCTCGCAGCACGGGGAGCTCCAGGGGAGCTCGTTTCCACAACTGATAGAGATTTCAGCATCTGCGCATCAGCTTAGCATGTCAAGAGGCACCAGGGATGCAGAGGGTTTGTGACATAGTCCTGGTCACCCAGACCCGGGGTACATCCTGACAGCCTGGAAGCTCCTCTGTTTCTCATTTAGTGATTCTTTTAAACGACACCAGGAAACAAATGAGATCTTGGGCAAGTGAAAGCAGCTTACGTCCCCTGCCCCTGTCAGATCACATGCGGATGTGAAGGCCGATGGCACATCCAGAAGAGGATAACCAGGATCAGGAGGACCCTGGAGGCCAGGCCAGGCGAGGCTGGGAGCTGGGCATTCGTAGCCAGGAGAGGAGAAGGCTCAGGGAAAACACGTCAGTTGTCTTCAAAATTATCCGTCAAGGGGCAGCTAGCTGGCACAGTGGATAGAGCACCGACCCTGAAGTCAGGAGGACCTGAGTTCAAATTTGGCCTCAGACCAAACACTTGACACTTACTAGCTGTGTGACCCTGAGCAAGTCACTTAACCCCAATTGCCTTAAAAAAAAAAATTATCTGTCACGTGGAAGAGATTAGTCTAGCTAGGACAGCACCAGGAACCGGTGAGGGGAGTTGTGGAGAGGCTGATTTGTTTGCTCAATGTGAGGGGAAACGCCCCAACAGGAGTAAGAGCTTCCTGGGTTCATTCCAAGCATTCTGCATTTTAGGTGCAGAATTTCACAAAGCAGAATGGCCACTTTGGAAAGTAGTGTTTCCCTTCAGCAAAGGGCTTCAAGTGGAGGCTGGGTGGCCATCTTTCTAGGACCTTGCAAGGAGAATTCCTTTTCAGTCAGACTGGAATAAATGACTGTGAAGGTCCTAATCTGTTCCTTCTGTGGACCTATGACACAAGCATGAACAAAAGGACCTGTTCATCTAGGACAGCTTACTCATGGGATTTGGAAGGAAATGGCTAGGAAGAGAGACCACCACCCATGTCAGGGTGAGTCCCTGAGATTCACTTGAAATGTCTGGCCAGGACAGGCAGAGGGGCACTTCTGGCCAATGCTCACCCTCAAAATTCCACCCCCACCCTCACCAGCCACTCCAGGCAGCTCCCTTCTTTTCCTCCTCCCCAGCTCTCTCGCTTCGGCTTCTCCAGCTGCTGAGCCCAGCACACAAAGGAAGAGCCTGGGACCCTGGCCTCTGAAAACTGAACTGCCTCCCAGGCATCAGAGCAAAGAGCAGACGGGCTGTCCACATGCTTCTGCTCTCAAAGGTTTTACTGTCCAGCACAGAACCAGGAGCAGGCCAGGCCGCTACAGGACAGGGGCCGAGCAAGAGCCACCTTCTAGAGGGAGAATATCACATCATGGGAACGAGCCTAATTAACATGTAGCTTGGAGACTTGCGTCATTCGGCCCTGGAAGGGACAAGAAATGTAAGCTCATCTTGAGACAAGAATCCAGTGCCCTCTAACCAGAACCCACAGAAGCCCATGGCCACAGCGTGGGAAAAACGTGCCAGCGGAACAACCGGGACATTTCAAGGGAGAGACTGACGTCACAAGGGACCATCTAGGACGGGGCTGTGTGTAGCGAGCGCTGCTGGGTGTGTCAGCCCTCAAGATAATCATCCGCATTTGCACAGGACAAGATGGAGAGCTGATTCATCCTAGCCAAGGGCCTTCAAGAAGCATGCCCACCGGGCAGGATTTATGGCAGGTTGACCCTTCGGCAGTGAAATAAAGTCAGATGTGCGCACGAGGGGTAGCACATTTTCATAGGATCTGGAGAACAGAAGGTGGTCAGGGCATCACCCAGCCCACCCCCCAGGACCCAAAGATCCTGTCCCAGGGACTGTTCTTTCCACTGCCGCCAGCACCTGGGGAACCCTCTAAGGGGGAGCAGGCCCCCAGCCACCACGTCAGCACAAGCTGGGGTTCTAAGAGCCCCCTGTGCCCATCGCCACCATCACGCTCAACACCTCCATGAGGCCACAGCATCCTCACCCTCGCTGACCCTCGGCCAGCTGCACTTTCATACTCCGAGGAAACGAGTTCCTTTTCACATTTGTTATTTATTGTTATCATGATCCACCGGTCGGATTTCTGGAATAAAACGATGCCCTCTGAGGCTACCTTTAAACACGGAGAGTGACCGCGGTCACCTAAGCCGTCAGGACCGGGGGAGGGATCATCAGCGCCCGGCTGTGGGCCCTGGTGGGGCTCAAAGCAAGACCTACAACATGCACAACTCTCAGCCACTCTGGCTTTACGGGAAAAGAGGTTCTCAAGACTTTTCTGTTGGAGAAAGGGAAGGCTGCCCTTCCCGACCAGCTCCGCGAGCCAGTCGGAGGGGCCTCGCTGGGCGCAGTGCTCTTACTGCAGTATTGGAGGGTCCGTGATCTTAGTGCCGGGCAGTGGGGTGAGCCCGGCCAGCCTGGCTGAGGCAGCTGGGGCCAGGCGGGAAGGAGAAGGACCACAGTGACCCAGCGATGGGAGAGAGGCCCCTGGCTGGGCAGAAGGAAGCAGCCCCCGTCGGGGAAGGGACCTCGACGCCCCAGCTCACACAGGAGTCAAGGGGCCGAGCAGGACAGCCCCGCACTTAGCAAGTGCCTGGCTCACAGCAGGCGCCTAATAAATGCATGGTGACTGCGGGCAGGTGCCCCAGCCTGGAAGCTCTCTGGCGGGGTCCCTCCCCCCCCTCCCCCAGCAGCCCCAGCACTGGGGGTGGGGAGGGCCCTCCCCGGGGGTCCTAGCAGCTGGGGGAGGTGGTGATGGGGCTGGGGAGGTAGGGAAGGCTGCTGGGGGCTGACACCGGGAAGCTGAAGACAAGCTGGGCCGCGGAGGGGGAGGTCTGCGCCGGCTCCCCGCGCGTCACCGTCACGGAGGGGCTGGCGGCCTCCGCGGCGCAGGACGTGGCCAGCACCTGGGACTCAAACTGCAGCAGCTGCCCCATGAAGCTGAAATTGGGAGAGATGACGCTTCGCCGCTGTTTGACGAACTCGAAGGCCGTCTCCAACCGCACCTTCTTCTTCATCATCAGGTAGGCCAGGCAGATGGTGGCAGAGCGCGAGATCCCGGCCTGGCAGTGCACCAGGACCCGCCCCTGGCCGGCCTGGACCGAGTCTGCGGGGGAGCGGGAGAGGGGAGGGAGGAGGGGGAGGGAAGAGAGGGAGGGGAGGAGGGAAGAAGGGGGAGGGAGGAGAGAGAGGGAGGAGGGGGAGGAGGGTAAGGGAGGAGGAGGAGGGAAGAAGGGGGAGAGAGGAGAGGGAGGGAGGAGGGGGAGGGAGGAGGGGGAGGGAGGAGGAGGGAGGAGGAGGATGGAGGAGGAGGATGGAAGAGAGAATAAAGAAGGGAGAGGGGAGAAGGAAGGGAGGAGAAAGGAAAAGGGGAAGGGAGGAAGGGGAGGAAAGAAAGGAGGAGGGAAGGAGGAACGGAGGAAGAGAGGTTTAGCCAAACTAAAGCCATCAGCTCCCTGGGCCTCTGTCTCCCTCACCACAGATGCCCCGTACTCGTTTCATGCTGCCTCCCCCTCGACCCCTCCAGTGCAGGCTCCAGTTTTCCCCTTTCTCTGGTTCCCTGGCACTGGCCCAGAGTAACACCTGCTTGCTGACTGACTCTATGCCCACACATCCATCACCCTGTTGTCCAGTCCAAGGAGTGGCAAACTGAGCCCACAGGCAAATCTTGGAATGAGGCCAGGAAGCTCCTGGTGCTGTCTGGAAGCTTTTCTTGGTTTAAAAACCGGCTTTAGCTCACAGTCTGGACAGAACCAGGCAGCAAAGTGGCAAAAACAGGGGGCTGGCTTTAGCCCACAGGCCACAGTTTGCTGACCCAACCTAGGACAGGGGTAGGATTCAGAGCTGGCAGAGCTGGCAGAGACCATCTAGTCTGGGCCCTGCAGGAGGAGAACCCAGGCCTCCCAATTCTGTCCCCAAAGCCCTTTCAGTCTCCAGCCGAGCATCCCTGGGCAGCAAGGAGGAGGGAAAGCACCTACCAGCTCCTGCCATCAGTCATCCCATGGTGAGGACAGGAGATAAATCCCTTGTTCTCAAGGAATATCTAAGGGGGAGGGGCTGTCCCAATGGGGGAGGGGGGAAAGGGCTCTGTCCCAGTTGGGGGGAACCATTGTCTCCTCCTCTGGCCTTCTGCGGGGTCGCAGACCTCATGCACACACACAGCTCCCAGTCAACCAACGTACCAATGAACTCAATGGCGTCCATGAACCAGGAGCCAATGTCTGCTTTGTGATTGTCTTCCACGGGGATGCACTTGTACTGGTAATGGGCCTCAAAGTGGTTCGGGCAGTCCAAGGAGACATTCAGCAGTGCAGTGATCCCCAGGGCATCCAGTGTGTCCCTCCGGGCTGCATGCTGGGCACTGCCCAGGTAGAGGAAGGGCAGGATCTCAACGGGCCCCCCCTGTGCAAGGCAGGAGTCAGATCTCAGAGGCCATGCAGAGCGAGAGCAGGGCAGGGGAAGGAGAGGGAGGGACACGGGCCCAGGGAGGAAATGGCCTCAGTCTGAGGAGTGGGAAAGGACCAAGGTGCCAAGGC